TCTTAGCATAATTAAGCTTGACCTTATGATGCTCCCTAGATCCTATCTGGGTAGCTAATGGGCTGTGGGAGGTGCAGCAAGTGCTGCCAAAACAAGTGAAACTCACAAGAACATTGTAACTATGGTGACCACTATCTTGTTTACCTCTGGCTATAAAATAAAGGCTCAGCTTGCCCTCTAGATCTTTCTCTGTGGCCTTAGCCAGGCACAGGAGATCCACCTAGACCCAGCTTATTCTCTTTGTCTGTCTTTTCTTTAATCCTTCACTGCCCTCCCTCAGGCTCACTGAACCCGTGGCTGTGCTGGCATGGCACAATAACACATGGCACATAGGGTTATTGGGAAGATTAAGTGAACAAATATATTAGAGTATATAGAATAATGCTTGGCATGCAGAGATTATTCTGTTTTAACTACTATTTTGTAACTACTAGAGGCCGGGTGCACAAAGATTTGTGCAAGAATGGGCCTTCCTTCACCTGGCTGACTGCACTGCCTTCACTCTGGCCAGAGCCACCTTTTTGCTCTGCCTGGAGCTGCCTTTCTGCCTTCCCACACTGCTCAGAGGCCTGGAGCAGCTGGGGCGGTGTGGAATGCCTGCGTTGTTACCCAACGATGCAAGCATCCTGCCCTGCCCTTGGCTGCCCAGTGCCTGTGTATGCAAATTAACCCGCCATCTTTGGTGGGTTGATTTGTATACTCACTTCTGATTGGCTGGTGGGCATTGTAAGGGTATGATCAATTTGCATCTTACTCCTTTATTACTGTAGATTGCTAAAGTTTATTCCAATTCTGCTCACATTACTTGCTGATTATGGTTCCACAAACCAGCAGAAAAAGGAAGCCTTTAGAAGAAGGGGCAAGCTTAGGGCTCAGAGATCACAGGGCAGAGAATCTAGAAAAGAAAGAATGAGGGCTTTGGTCTCAGACTCACCCAGATTAAATAAGAGCTCCAATGTTTATTGTATGTAATTGGTGATCTCTAAGTCTGTATCTCATTTGTAAAATTAGAACAGCAATTCCAGTTTGAAATCTTGTATAAATGACACAGCGCCTAGTAAGTGCCTATTGGGCTCTTGGAAATGATATAATGATTCCTCCCTCCTCCATTTGTTTTTAAACAAAAAAGTAGCAGCATATTTCACATAAAATTTTTAACTTTACTTTTAAAGTTAACATTATAACATAAACCCATGGACACAGACAATATAGTGGTGAAGGCCTGGGAGGGGCAGGTGTGGGGGTGGAAGGGATCAATGGGAAATGAACAAACAAAAGGGACATCTATAATACTTTCAATAAAAAAGATAGATTTAAAAACATGTAAAAACAAACATATTCCTATGTCACTAAATATTCTACTACATAAAAACATTTAAAAGCCTATTTAGTAGCTTATTAAATGTATATACCATCCTTTATTTAACTGTTTCCATATTTCTGAATATGTTTTTCCAGTATTTCCTACTATTGATAGTCAACTAATGAGCATCCCTGATGATGAACCTTGTTATGCCTCTGTCATTTTTATTAAGTGACATTGTTGGATCCATCATGTGTACATTTAATTACTCTCCAGACTTGTACAATTGCACTCACCAAAGCACTAATGAATGTGCCTGCTTCCCTGCACCCTCACCAATCTGGGTAATATTTTTATTTTTGTTCTCTGCAACCTTAGGCAAAAATTATATCTCATTGCTTTGATGTTTATTTTCTCACTAGACGCCCAATGCACAAAATTCGTGTAAGGGGCTTAGCCCTCACAGCCCAGGCTTTGTTGGGAAGGTTGCCCAGCTATCCGGTCTAATTAGCATATTACTTTTATTATAGATTATTAATACATTTTTTTATATGATTGCCATTCACTCTTTTATGTTAAGTGTCTTTCTCTACCTCTCCTCTCCACTCTCAATTTTATAAATATGAATTATAATTTATAAGCCAGGCATTTAAATATCAGCACCTGCATCAGAGAAGGTCTGAGTCAGAAGTACCTCTCCACACTGCATACTAGAAATGGATTTTTAATACAAGTACCAGACAGGGTGACTAAATAAGCAGACTTGGTGCTTTCTTGAGAGCCCAGCGAAGAGGGGATGCATGAAAGAAATTTCAAGGTGAGAGGAATTAGATCACCTTTGCAAAACTGTGTTTGGAATATGACGACGACTTATGCACGTTGACTAGGATGCCAAGATATCTGGTCAAACATTATTCCAAGTGTTTCTGAATGAGATTAACTTTTAAATCAGTACACTGAATAAAGCAGATTTCTCTCCTTATTGTGGGTGGGCCTCATCCAATCAGTTGAAGGATGGAATAGTACAGAAAGGCTGATCTTTTTCTAAGAAAGAGAAATTCTTACTGCCTGCCTGACTTTGAACTGTAACATTGTGAGTTTATTGTGGGGTTTTTTTTGTGTGTTTGTTTTTTGTTTGTTTGTTTTTCTGCATTTGAAACGTCAGCTTCTCTTGGACTGGCACGTGCCCGCTTCTGGAATGTGACTGAGTCTCCAGCATGTTGACTCATCCTGCCAATCTTGAGGCTTCTTCACCTCTGTAAATTGTGCAAACCAATTTCCTATAATAAACCTCTTTAAATACATACTATTCCTTACATATTCTTATACATTTTACATACATACATTTTTATTGGTTCTATTTCTCTGGAGAACCTTGACTAATACAGAAACTCTTTTTAAATTTACCCAAGGCCAAAAAATAAATTGTTTCTGAAATATGCCTTTTAAATAAATTCTAGTTAGGATGGTGCAAAATTCAAGGCATAATCCCTGAATATGTCATTTACTAAATGAGAATATTAATATCCAGCACACAAAGTTTTTAGGGGCTCAAATTAGATGACATAATCAAGCAGTTAGCAAACTGCTAAACAAATCTTTCTTATGAATTCAACTTTTCTCTAATGTAATTCATGAAAAGGCAATGGCCTTGGGAGAAATATTCCACTTAAATGCCTGTAATATTTGAAAAGTGGAAGACTACCCCCTCCCACAAACACCTACAAACATGTACACACACTACATACTACACAGACACGCACACAGGCCCTGACACCTATGCATTTGTTTGGGGGTGAGGGGGAATAATAAAAGCTGGCTGTAGAACTGTTAAACATTTTTATTGTGTAGCCTTATAACCTTTACAGGCCATGCAGAATAAAAAAGTGTAAAATATATCAGTAAGCATATAAAATCTCAGTCACCTTTTGGGCCAGTATTTGATTTGCACAGGAAACTAAGCATATATGTAGAACAGACATGTCTTGGGACACACAGTTCACAGGTTGACAAAGCCATTTCCCAAGTGATCTTCCTCACATAAAGATAAACGTATCTTTACACTTAAAAGGGATGCAGTGTAGTACGTCTTCAGTATGTACACAGATTGAAGGTAAAACTAGGTCCACGCCAGTGTCTGTTTTAAATGCAAAGCATCAAAGTCGGTAACAAGTTGGTAAGTAAAGTGTCAGGAAAACTGGAAGAGGCAAGAAAAAAAACAACAACCCACCAACAAACAAAAAACCATCAAGCAGAGTTCCCACAGGTGCATGGGACTAAAAGGGAAAGCACACCTGAAGGTTAAACATAAACTCCCCAAGGGCAGACTCCGAACAGGAGCAGGAGGAATAGAAAGCTTTCGGGTGTACCAGGCCATTCGGCATGACTCAGGTTTACAGGTAACATTCCTCAGTTTGAGTTTAGAAGGATTTGAATTTATTCCAGCAAAAACGATCCCCATCTTTCACTACTGCCTCCTCCCCCGTCTTCTCTCTGAGTGGAGTGATGCTTGGATGAGGCCCAAAGCTCCCGGCGGGTGGAGGGGCCACGTTCACAGCACCAGAGGCGGTTGCCAGTGCTTTGCTTCAAAGGGGTCACATGGCCAACAACTCTGAGCAGCTCACACAGCAGCCTCCGTTTGGTGAGCCTCTCCCCGGAGGCCCACAGGTCAGCTGAAAAGGGAACACAGTGTGCGGCCACTGAAACACCCGGTGATGGATTAGTTTGGCGGCAGGAAAGCGTGATTATTCATAGAAGTACACGGAGCTGAATAGGCGTGCTGACCTCATTCAGCTGGAGAGGCAGGAAAGCTGGCTCCCATGCCTGCCAGTCCAGAGAGGACTCGGCCCCATCTGTCCTCCTTAATTCATCTCATTGGGCTGAGATGGACCATACGCGATAGGGACAAGGATGGTGTGTGATCAAGTGCAGACAGGAACTTCACCTGACTCTGTGCTCAGAGTCAGAAACAAGGGTGGAGAGCTGGGTAGTGGATTTTCTAATTTTGGTCTCCAGAGAGGTTGCTGATTTAATGAAAACTGACCAGCGAGACCCCATTTGAGAAGGAAAAGATGGTGAACAGGAAGGCACTTAAGTATCATTATCTATGTAACAGATAGTCAGGAACAGAGAGTGTCACATTTCAAGAAGGGTAAGGCAGTCAGACTGTGTGAATGCAGAGTAAGTTTTCTAATTTGATAAATACCACTAGATCCCATTGGATCATTAAAATGAGTGACAGCAACCCACTAACACTTCAGATGGTAAGGGAAGAATTTGTTTAAAACAGCCACATCCCTGTTCAACAAATGGCCATAGCCCGGAATTCTTCCCTTACCAGACAATGATCAACATTTTAGAATAGGCAGTTGAGGTCATTGGTTCTTCATATTTCTCTCGTTTGTGTCTCAGGCAATAAAACAATGACCGCACATGCAAATAAAAATGCAAGGAAAATATTTTTAAACGGGTTTAAAAAAATTAGACCAAAAAAAAAAAAAAATAGATGAAATAGCTCAGAAGAGACACATAATAGTTATGAAAACTAAGAGAGTGATTTCTTTGTTATGAACCAAGAAAATTCACTCCTATATTGTTGCCGTCCTAGCAACTTAAAACTTGATATTGGCACCAAGAACATTCAAAGGAAAAAAAAAAAAAAAAAGAATCAGGTATACTTCTATCCTTGAAATGTCATTTATATTTCTTTCTGTACACTGATGCGGACACTGCTGAATATTTTGCCAGCGGCGTCAAACAGTGGGTCAAAGAGGGTGTGGATGCAGATGGAATAGATGCGGCTGAAGCACTGAATCTCAATCATGAAACTCTTAATGTATGGCACAACCACCCAGATGTGCACGAAGGAAACAATGGCGAAGTAAATGCCCCAGAGAAGGGCCAGTGGGATGCCCACGAGGGCCGACAGCAGGCGGTAGAACCAGTATTTGGTCACGGTGAAGGTGGTGAAGCTGGCCTTCCAGATGCCATCGAAGCTGTGGATTCCCTCTGGTTCGGCGATCACGTCTTCAAAATCAATCTAAAAGGAAGAAAGGACAGAACGTGAAGTTGGAATGGGAGAAAAGAGAAAAAACCACACTACTGAGTATCTGTAAGTAGGTTAGCTTTTATGGACAGCGTGAGATGCTTTACTCCACCAAGCGATAGCAGCCTCACTTCTAACTTCTTGGAAAAACAGATACTTGGGTCCCACTCAGATCTTATTGCATCTCTGGGGGTGGAATCCAGGAGGATTTTTAACATGTTCTCCAGATGTTTCTATCCCAGGTGAAAGGTTGAGAAGCACTGCTGTAGGGGATACCAAATGGATATTACACAACTCCTGCCTTCAAGTAAAACCTAGCAACATGGATAAGTATGCAGGGCACTCAATAAAAGATACTATTTAAGTTAACCTTATTCTGAGACAACTATACACAAGATATGACAGGGTAGTTAGTTCATTGATTATTAACTTTTTGAACACTCCACTATTCGAATTTCTTTGATAAATGAGATCATTAGAAACCATGAGGACCCAAGACATTTTTATGGGGTGGTGGGTCTTGAGCTGGGCTTGGAAAATGGGGTATGATTTGGAGAGGAAGGAAGCAGGGTCCTTGGAAATGGTGTGAGCAACGAATGAGGAAGGATAATATATTGAGTGTCACAAGCAGATAGACCTATGTGCCCGCGGCTGGGAAGGCATGTTGAGGCCAAATTCAATACTTTTTATACACAGTGTGGGGAGGGAAGTCAATTGAAGACTTTGAGGTGGGAGAATGTAGCCTGCGGCCACAACCAGTGGTCATTTATCAAGACTGACTTGAAAGCAGGGTGGGCGAAAGGACAAAGGACTCAAGGCAAAGGGATTGTTGCTGTGTCCCAAGTTTGAGATGGTAGGCCCCAAAATGGAATAGCGGCCATGGAGAAAAGAAAAAAAGAAAGAAAATAATGAATTTTAGGAATGTAAAAGGAAGAATGGACAGGACCTGGTTACCTCAAGGTTGGGAAAGAGAAAAGCCTAAAGTGAGCTCTGAACTTTCAGTTTGTCTTCTAGGGAGAACAGAAGTGACATTCGAATCAAGAAGAAAGCAAGAAAGGAAGGCAGTTGAAAATTTTAAGATGGAGCTTCATTTTTGAACTGTATGTACTTTATTTGGCAGATAAGGGAACAGTCAAGTTTAAGGACAATGCAAATGTCAGTGGTCCACACCAGATGGATCCTGAGGTAGTCCTTTCGGTGGCCACTGGGTAGTAATCAAATAAGTTTGCAGTTACATGGCACTTAACCATTACTGAGTGCTACTCCATAGTTTCCACATGATCTGGTGTCTCAAACCAATGTGGGAAGGTACAATAGGTTCACAAAGGTGGGGCCGCAAACGAGGCCCTTTTCCCAATAGCATTCTCTCCCATAGCACATGTTTACATAAGCAATGAGTTCTCAAGAGCTTTTATTCCTCTGGAAAGATTAATATAAACAACAACTGAAGTATTGGGGAAAAATTACTCCCCAAAGTGTGAGATGGAGCCAGCTCAACTGTTTGGTGTTGGCAGATGTATGAAGAAATATAAATTAGGTTCCCTAACAAGTTGATTACCACTAGCAGCAATATAGCCACGCTCAGGATTAGGTGATTCCATGGAGCCTCTCTGTGCCAACGAGCTACCTTGAAGTCAACATTTTTGAAAGAAGTGCATGATGCTTACCAATAGTTAAAGAATGTTTCCTATAACATCTTGTTCCTTGATCTATTGGCCAATGTCCTAATGAGGTAATATGTAAAAATGTCCACAATTATGTAAATGAATTTATAGATTATCATTCTGTTTTCTTTGCTCATTTAGATCTAGATTTAGCAGTAAGCATTAACTTGTGTGTTTTAAAAGGTTGTACAAAATATGTGCCAAGTCAGATCAATCCTTCAGTGAAGTTTCTGTGCAAATTTACTTGTCTTCTATGCGGTTTTATTCTAACACAGCATTTTCCCTAGGCTAGCATGGCTCAGTGGTTGAGTATTGACCAATGAACCAGGAAGTCACGGTTCGATTCCCAGTCAGGGCACATGACCGGGTTGTGGGCTCAGTCCCCAGTGTAGGGCATGCAGGATGCAGGCAATCAATGATTCTCTTTCATCATTGATGTTCCTATCTCTCCCTCTCCCTTCTTCTCTGAAATCAAGGAAAAATATATTTAAAAATAAAATATTATTTTAAAAAATAAAAATAAAGGTCTGCAGTTTTCCTTCACGGAACTGCAAGATACCAAAAGAACTTTATTTTTAAAAGATAACCTTGTTTTGTAAGAGGACTTGGTGAAGTCAAAATTAATAGATTAAAGCAGGCTTTCTTAATTTGGGTCAAAGGATGGCCAATGGTGGTCCATGAGTGCTCTGAAATGGGTATACGTGTTTTGAGGGTACAATGTACAAAAGTACAATACATTTGTTTAAAAATAACCAGTCTATTACCAATGGAGTTTGGGAAGGACTTTGCTGAAGCAGAGGATTCCTTGCTCTTTACAGAACAGACTTGAAGCACATCTTCCTTGAGGTCCTTTTCCAAGGGAAGAGAAATTACTAATATTTGCTGATTGGCTGTTATGATTAGACACTGTTCTCATTTAACACAGAAACTTGGTAATATATCATTTCCATTTCATAGAAAAACTATTGGCCTGGTGCACAAAATTCATGCATGGGGGCATCCCTTAGCCCAGTCTGTACCCTCTTCAATCAGGGACCCCTTGGGGGATGATCAACCACCAGTTTAGGCCCGATTCCACAGAGATCGGCGGTTGGACATCCCTCTTGCAATCTGGGACTGCTGGCTCCTAATCACTCACCTGCCTGCCTGCCTGATCACCCCCAACTACCATCCCCTGCCAGCCTGATCACCTCTAACAGTCTCTGCCTCAGCCCCCACCACCATGGCTTTGTCAGGAAGGAAGTCAATATTTGGAAGATGGCCCGTCAACCTGGTACAATTAGCACATTACCCTTTTAGTAGTATATTAGATAGATTATATAGGATAGGATTGCTTAAATGTGGGGGTGAAACAAGGAGATGCTCTTGGCAGACAAAAGTATATAATCCCTATATCTGGACTGATAGCCACCCATATGCGCTATACTGCCAAACCAGTCATTAAAAAATTGAACTGCTTTCTTACACCCGACACCAAACGGCTGTTGCCCTTAAAACCCCTCATCAGCCTCCCCCTTAGGTTCTGCCTTTGCAATTCACCCAGGTGAAGTTCTGCAGTTTATCCCATTCAGTGTCAAAAGCTACGCCTCCTAGGCAGCCATTGACTCCTTGCACTTCACCCTGATTTGGTTCCGATTGGTTGGTTCCTATGTCAGTCAGCATCAAAAGCTCTGCCTCCTAAACAGCCATTAGCTCCTCACACTTCACCCATATTTGGTTTTGATTGGTCAGTTTCTAAGCCAGTCAGCATCCCTGGGCCTATCAACTGCCTAATCAGAGATGCGGGACTGATCAGCAGCTCCAGCGGAGGCCCAAAAGAAAGAGAGGTGCAGCTGTTGGCCACGTCCGGAAAAGAGAGGCAAGTGCTAATCAACAACTACCACTATGCTATGGATCAGACCTTGCTTCTCTCTCCAGACCTCTCTTTGGGCCTGATCTGCAGCCTCCTTGGCAGTCAGTGTTGAGTCACCATGGCAATCCAACACTGACTTCCAGTAGGTCCAGCGTTAAGTCACTTGGAATGTTATGGACCCTGGATTTTTATATATTAGAATGGTAGGTTCAAAATGTTAAATTTTTCTGGTAAATAGGAGGTGGATTAGAGTGTTGAATCTGGCCTGGAAAATAATTCTTTAATACCACATTGCTTAAAAAAAAAATACTTTTAAACGTTTCTCTAAAGCTGTTATAGTATTTCACAACTAAAAGACACATTAACAAAACGTCTGCTGAATTTAACCCTCCTGATAATTAAGAATTCCACAGCAGGGCATTTGAGGACAGCATCACGACAAGGTCATATACATCATAATACACTATGGATTATTAGTGAAGGTCTATAAGCATATACATGTGCATAAGAGTTCTTGATAATAACTCTTTTTCTAAGCATAAATATAAATGCTGTTTTCAATGAACATAATGGAAATTCATAAGCTTTTAGTTGCTTAGACAATTTCAGGGTGGCCGTTTTTCTAGTGCTTTCCAGAAACTGCTGGTGAGCATGATTTATCCTCAAATATCTAAGTGAATTTAGAGCAGGTCTCCAGGGCTAGACAGCAACATGACAGAATAACATGTTATTATAAATGTATTCAGTTAGTTGTTGCTTTAGTCTTAAAGGTGGCTTAAAAGAACATGACCCACCAGTTAGAAAGAACAGCTGAGAAAAAGAAAGCAAGGCCGGTGAAGGGAACACAGTGGAGCCAGAAATAAAGTTTAGCTTCTCTCTACTTCCATCTCTGCAGCAGGAGCAGTAATAGGTTTTTGTGAGGAGTACAAGAGATCATTTATATAAAGTGCTTAGCATGGGGTTAGAGCTTCGCTATATAGTAAATGCTCAATATATAGTAACATTAAAAAATTCCAGATTCTGGGTGACTAAGATAGTCTGGGCGATAATTGTAATAAGAGAAATGACCAGCTGCAAAGTACATAGTAGCTGTGAATTCAAACCCTACCAGTGGCTCAGGAGAATTAACTTGCAATTGTGATCATCTTTACCACAATTCTCTGAAATGAATGCTATTGTTCCCATTATTCAGGTGACAATGGAGTTGGTTAAGAAATTACTCAAGGTCACACAAACTCGATCTCTTTTTACTTATGCATTCATGGGGTGAATCTATTCATGCACCCTCATGATAGACTTACTTGCTTAATTTTCACCCAGATAGACATACTTCCTAAAACATTCACATTTTGATTATTAAAGGAATTAGCCTTGTTGACATTTCCATTTTAAGTCCGGATATCTGGTAACTAGGTTGTTTTCCATTCTTGGGACGGGTTGTATTTTCATGGCCCTGCACAGTATGTTCTCAAAATCCT